TTTTTCTCCTACAAATATTAAGCAACATAGTGGAATGACTACTAGCTCCTTCTTGAGCATGCATTGATTGAAAACTTAGTTACTTGAACTCAGAAGTAGTGCATTATGGAAATATTGGAAAAAGAAGTGGACTGATCTACAACTTTGAACAACTAGTGAACACTTTTGATTAAGTGTTACTGAAACATTATTCAAGCTCTAAAACTACACGTACACATGTCAACATGCACGAGGAGTTGGGGAAGCTGTAGACCCACGAGAAAAAAAAAAACTCGCCGCACGCACGGTTACCACCGGTGCAGCGCGCGGGTGCGAAGTACTCGTCCCCCCATTGCAGATCTAGCTCAAAGATCAGGGGGTTCAACCCAGAAATCAACGCCCCTTAGAGAAGTACGTTCATAAAGCTATGCTACATTCCTGAAGATAATATTAATTGCCTTTTCCTTTAACGGCTTAGCAATCATAAGACTGGGCCTATCTTTCTTTTGTTGTTAGAACGTACAGAGTTATGGCGCACTTGTGCTGCATTACCATATGAATTATTTGGATTAAGTTATTAAATGATCTGTTTGCAACAACCGTCTCGTGTTTTCCTCTTTTCTCTTCCGCTACAAAAGCTTCTTTATAGAATCAAGCCATTTCAAACTTAGAAGTGAGAGTTTCCATGGAATTAAATTTCAATGGTTTATACGAATTTCGCATATGAATACTTAGAAACATTCTGTAATTTTTCACTCTCTTTCTTGAGATTTATAGCAAGCACCGTAGAGCTCCATTTCTTCGCTTAAATTCCAATTGCATTTGATCAAAGCGCTTAATTTATTGTGATTATCTTGTATGAGTCTACAAGATGCATGCTCTGCTATCCGAGTGCCCAACGCCGCTAACCGCGTAATTTGCCGTGCGCGATGATTGCGTTATTGCCACTCCAAGTGATCCCCTCCCTCCCCTACCAATTGGTATAGTTAACATGGGTCCACATGTATGCAATTGCATTACCTATCGTAAGAAAATTCTAATAAAAAATCAGCACTAACCTTTTTCACTGGTCAACTTCACATCAAGGGTTTTCCACAAAACCTTCACAGCAAGTTTCTTTGCCTCTGCAAGGGTGGGGCTCTTATATTCCTGTTTCAAAAGCGACATAGCAGCCTAAGAACTGATGATTTCACATTAAACGAGCAATGTGCAGACTTGAACAAGAGGTTGTGCATTTTCGCAATGGCAGATATTCATCGTAGAACACGATGAGATCAGATACATTTGATGAGAGAAAAAAGAACAGATAATGGTTACCTGGTGATTGTTTCCAATACAGGTAGCCTTCCATCCAGTGTAGTTTCCTGATGGATCTGACTGATAAAGCTGATACCCATAATGCTTATCCCAACCCATATAAAGTAAAGATACTCCAAATGGTCGTTTTCCTGTAAACGTTTTGCTAACTCGTAATTAAAAAAACTTAGAATGGCAACCTATATCAACGACAAACCTCCAATCTGTGTGTAACGTTGTTTTTCATTACAAAGATTCTGTACTAGCTGTTCGACGGGCATTTCCTCTCCGTACGATAGCTTATACTGCGCAGCCCACCTGTAGAGTATAAGAACAAATAACAAAAAAAAA